GAGATCACTCTTTCGACCAAACGATTGGGAGCATGTTGAGCACTTGTGCGCTCGTATGCCAGTGTGAACAAGCTGGTGTTCTTGAAGATGACTCGTCCGCCCAAANGTGTTCTTGGAGATGACTCGTCCGCCCAAATGCTTTGGAGCATGTTGGGCACTGGTAAGCTTTAATGCCAGTGTGCACCACTTGGTGTCGTTTGAGATCACTCTTTCGACCAAACGATTGGGAGCATGTTGAGCACTTGTGCGCTCGTATGCCAGTGTGAACAAGCTTGTGTTCTTGGAGATGACTCGTCCGCCCAAATGCTTTGGAGCATGTTGGGCACTGGTAAGCTTTAATGCCAGTGTGCACTATTTGGTGTCGTTTAAGATAAGATGGACAATCAAAGCTTTTGTCGCACTGCTGACACTTGTGGCTCTTCTTAGCTCGTCTACGACGACGGCTCCGCTGTTGTTCCCCAGTTGCACTCCTCGGGCTACGGTTGACCACTGGTTCGGTGTTTTGCTGAGGTTCTGCAGAATAAAAAGTGTTAGTCAAAATATAAAATGAACGCCAAAACAACAACTGACCACTGACTGCTGAATGATCATCATCATCAATTTCAGTGGCATCTGAATCCGTTTCGTGTTCTTCCTCGACCATCACTGCTTCACTCGTTTCATTGGCATTTGTTTTTGCAGAAAAATCCTGTTCCATAATCGCATGAAACTCATCATCGAACATATCAATTGCAGATTCATCCTGTTCTTCAGTTTTCACCACTGTTTCTACGAAAAGTAACATGAGTAAAGTAAAATGTGTAAAATGAATCATCCACTCACCATTTCCTGCTGATTGATCATCATCACTTTCCAAAGCATCATAATTAGTCTCCGAATCTTCTTCTTCTTCTTTCACCTCCATTGTCTTGGCTCCTTCTTCGACAATACAATCAAACTCGTCGTACATATCATAAGTTTCAGACATTTTCTTTTAAATGATAATAAGACTGATTCTGCAGAATAAAACGAGGAGAGCTACTAATAATAAAACGACTGTAAACAAAACTGACCCAACTGAGCGAGCAGGCTGTCTCTGTTTCTGTCCACAGTGCTCCCCAGGGCCCAGGGCATAAACAAAACCGGTCTTGCTCATGTTCAGTGTTTACGTTTTTGCAAAGATAAATACAATCACATGGTAAAAAATAAAATATTTTTAATTTAGTTTTTATAGTTATTTTAAATATTTTAATAAAGTGAAACAATTTCACAATATTTTGAGTACAAATAAAAAGGTAAAAAACCTAAAATGTTTTCTTTTTCATCATCAATTCAGGTCAAGTTTTTTCTGAAACAAAAAAAATCCAATATTTGTTTGTTTTGCTCCAACCTCAAAAGAAATCAAAACAAAAAAACATCTGAACACCGTCAAACGGAAAAGAGCAACCCAAATAAAGGAAATCAAAACAAAACAAAAATTTAAAAGTCATAGTCAATTCAATCATTCCCTTTCTCTCTTTTTTTCTCTCTTTGATTGCTGCTCTGGTTTTATTGATAGCTAGATCGACCTGCCTCAAACAAAACCAAAAAATTCAAACTAGAAAATAAAAATAAAGGCNTTTTTTTGCCTGAGCAATATCAAATGGCACTGCCGTACAACATTTATCAATTTACCAGCCAACCACCGTTTCCCTCTACTACTAAACCACTTTTCCATTGCACTTTTGTACGGTGAAAATTTTTTCTACTTTAGCTCTGCTCTGACGATGATCGTTCACGCTCACGCATTGCATCCCTTTACGTTTGTTTGTTCAGCCAACCGATTTTTCTTTTCTCCCTCTAACTCGCTCTTTCCATTCAATAGAAATTTTGCACTCTTTTCACTCTGTTGTGATCAGCTGAAGCAGCAGTGGTGGCGGATCACAGGGCATTATTTTTTTTCAAACGAAGCCCAAGCAAACGAGAGCACGACAGAATATTCTGTGCAGCAGAAGCAGCATAGGGTGCAAAGCAAACATTCATGATGATAGTGGTGAGAATGCTTCTTCTGCTTCTTCTTCTTCTTCTGTTGGTGATTTAATTTTCAAAGCTTGCACCACCACTATTGTGCCTTCGTTATGCAGCGGCACACTGTGCTTGTTTGTGAGTTTGTTTGTGCACTGGAATCGAGTTTGGGAACGGGATGTAAAGAGAGAGAGAGAGAGAGAATTTACATGCATCGAAATCTTGNTGTGCCTTCGTTATGCAGCGGCACACTGTGCTTGTTTGTGAGTTTGTTTGTGCACTGGAATCGAGTTTGGGAACGGGATGTAAAGAGAGAGAGAGAGAGAGAGAATTTACATGCATCGAAATCTTTGCCTTCTTTTTTCTTTTCCTTTTTTCTCCTTCTTTTCCTGTTCCCCACCGCTTGCACGGCTGCACTTGGCACCACCGCCACCACCACAAATCAAAGCAGTGATTCTTCTGCCGTTTTTTGGAACTGCTGCTGCTGCTGTTGCTGTCCCCGGAATCACCGGAATGCTGCTGCAGAAGTGCAGTGCAGTGCTCACTCTCAAAATAGGTTAGAATAATAGACGACCCAACGAGAGAGATTTACCCCCTTCTTTCCAATTCTGGAAATAGTGCCACCAAAAGGCAAAAATAGGCGAGATTCACTTTAGCAATAAATAAACAGCGGAAACAGCAGCAAAAGCTCCTGAACCCCTTCTTCTTTTTCTTCTTTTTCTTCTTCTTTCCAAACAGGAACACAACCTCAATGAGCTTAAATACTGATTCTGTGTATTCTTGCGTGTGTTTGTTCGATTCGATTCTGGTTCTGTTGGTTTGGTTCTGTTTGGCTAGGTTTGTCCGTCCTGATGATTCATAGCGGTTACAACTCATTGAAACACCGTAGCAGATTCAGGCACGGAAACGAGCTGCTGTTTTCCGCTCCAGAAATATTGAAGGC